ACACACACGCATACAAATTTGTTTGCAGATATACAAAACATCCCTGAAAACTTGGATGGCTGGAGGACAAAAATGGAGGGAGAACATTTTCATGATATAACTTTTTGTTTATCTTGAATTTTTTACTATATGCACAGGCAACCTTCCAAAACACGTCTTTAAATATATTTTAAAAACTGGTGGTACTACTCAAAACAAATATAACTTATTTTAACAGCTTTATTAAGATATAATTCACACACCATAAAATTCCCCCATTTAAAGTGCACAAATCATTGACTTTTAGTACATTCGGAGTTGCGTATCCACAACCAAAATCAACTTTAAACATTTCATCATCCCCCAAAGAAACCCCTCTCCTTTTAGCTATCTATCATTCTTCAATTCTCACATCTCCTCCAGCCCTAGGCAACCAATAATCTACTTTCATCCCTATACATTTACCTATTCTGGGCACTTCACAGAAATGCAGTCATACAATACGCGGTCTTTTGTGACTGGTTTCTTTCACTTAGCATAGTGTTTTCAACATACATACATGAAATAGTATGTATCAATACTTTATTTTTATTGCTAAATAATACTCTTTTGTATGGATACACTTCACTTTGTTTATACATTAATCAGTTAATAGACATTTCAGCAAGTTCCACTTTTTGGATATTATATCATTTTATGTGCTAATTGGACATTTGGATATCTTCTTTGGAGAACTGTCTATTCAGATTCTTTGCCTATTTTTTAAATTTGGGTTATTTGTTCAAAACAGACATAATTTGAAATTTCGAAGAATTTTCAATTAAGCAGAAATAAAGGACACATAATGGTAAATCTGAAATATCTATATGTTTAACACCCAACAAATCCATCTGAAAATTAGTAGAATAATGTTTTATCTATCCTTAACAGTCCACCTCACATATTATCAAAATAAAGTTAAAAAATCACCTTGAGAAACTCACATCAGTGTACATCAGACTGTACTCTAAAACCGCTTTCATATACACAATCTCACTCAGGCAATTAAGCTTTACAGCAAACCTTTAAGAAAACTGCTGTTGTTTTATTTTAGTTAAGAAACTGAGACTCAGAAGCTATTTTAAGAATCAGCTAAAAAAAATAAATAACATAATGGGCTGGCCAGTTAGCTCAGTTGGTTAGAGTGTGGTGTTGATAACACCAAGGTCCAGGGTTCAATCCCTGTACAAGCCATTCATCAAAAATAAAAATAAAAATAAAATAATGATAATAACAGAACATTTATGTAAGCATTTAAATCAATTTTTACTGGGCCTTTTCTGACATTCTTGTTATATTATTCTTAATTGAAACAGATGGTGAATTCTAATTTTAAAAGTTAGTATTATTAGTACTTCTTTACCAGAAGCCGTGGTAAATGAAATATCACCAGTTACTTAGATCTTTCTAAATTCATTAATGAATTTGTTAAGCATGTTTTTTGCTTTTTAAAAATCTGGATAAATTTATTGCTCAAGAAACTGAAGGACTATATTATTGGACATAAACATGTAATAAAGGTAGGGGGCATTACCCACTACATCCTGTTATTGCTTTTGAATCTTGACCTGCAAAAAAAACAACTACTTACGTCAACAATCTTAAGAAGAGGTTAGGGATAGGAATTATGCTTACTATAAAATGTGAAACAATGAGAACTAGGACACAAAGCAATTGATTATTTCCCTCCACAACCTAAGTATAACATGATCCAAATATTTCAGTCACATAATGATATGGCTAACATGCTTTTGTCTTGTTAGTGCTCACCTTATAATATCTCAAGTTTTCTTTTTTCTTTTTTTTTTTTTCCTTTTTGTCTTTTTTCGTGTCCGGCAACGGGATCGCAACCCTCGGTGTTGCTCCCACACCTCGCTCAGCCAGTGAGCGGGAACCGGTCTGTACGTGGGATCCGAACCCTCGGCGGGAGCGCCACCGCGCTCCCAAGCGGCGCACTGTAGCAGTGCGCCACCGGGCCGGCCCTATCTCAAGTTTTCTTAGCATATACTCTATCTCTAAAAAGCTGCCATGGTCCAGTGATCCTCTCCACTGAAACAGTAGCTGTGGACTATTGTACCCAGGATATCTCAACCTCACCACAACTGACATTTTCGACAGGATAATTCTTTGTTGTGGAAAGCTGTCCTGTGCATTGTGGAATGTTTAGCAGCATCCCTTGCCTATACCTACTACTAGATACTCTCCTCAGTTTTAACAATCAAAAATGTCTCCAGACATTGTCAAATGTCCCAAGTCTCCTTGTGGGGTGAAAAGTAACAACTGTGCACCCTGCTGAGGCAACTGATTTAAAAGGATGCCCAAAGAGATACTTTTCAGTTTTTTCACCATATCCCTGGATAACTAGAAAAGGAAATACATGTAAAAGAACAATATGGAATGATGGTATGGTGGTATATTTTTTAATTTTATTTCATTTCATTTATTTATTTATTTATTTTGGCAGCTGGCTGGTATGGGATCCAAACACTTGACCTTTATATTCTTTTTTAAAAGCCCTTATTTTTTACTTTACATTATCTGTCAATTGAAGTAGGTATAGATAAAATAATATGATGGCTAATATTTGCATCAAAATAGTGAGGACTAAGTAGGTAATTGGAACATGATTGTCCATATGATAATGTACACACAAGTTTTTTATACTATTTTCTATGTTCAAAAAACTCCATAATAAAAAGCTAAAAAAAATGGGGGGAGGGGGGAGCTAACAAAGGTTTCAGGAGGTAAATGAACAACCTGCTGCTAATTAGGCCAAAAGATTACAGTTGAGACAAACAATAGACAGCTGAATGCCTGGGAGGAGAAACTAGGACACAGACTATTTGTGAATTAGAACACTAGAAAGCGGGCTGGCCCGGTGGCGCACTCGGTAGAGTGCGGCGGCACTCCTGCCGAGGGTTCGGATCCCATATAGAGACCGGTCCGCTCACTGGTTGAGCGCGGTGCGGGCGGGACACAGAGGGTTGCGATCCTGTTGCCGGTCATGGTACGGGCGCAACACTGAGGGTTGCGATCCCATTGCTGGTCACGAAAAAAGACAAAAGGGAAAAAGGAAGAAAAAAAAAAAAACATAAAAAAGCAAGATAAATAGATAGCACAAAAGAATAGAATAAAAATAAATATTTACCAATAATTTATCAATTTATCAATATTTATCAATAATCACTACAAACAAGATGGAGTATACTCACCAGTTAACAGATCATGCAAATGGACTTTTAAAAATTTAACAATTCCACACACAGGTGTTTATCCAAGAGAAATAAAAATATTTGTCTACAAAAATTTCATACACTAATGTACACAGCAGCTTTATTCATAATCTAGTCAAAATATGGCAACAACCCAAATGTTCACCTAGAGATGAATGGATAACCTTATGATAGACTACGACGCAGCAGTAAAAGGAACAGACTACTGACACACGTGATAACATGGATGAATCTCAAAACCTTTTTACTTAATAAAAGAAACCATACACAAAAATGAGTATAATTCGAGGGTAATTTTAAAAGTTCAGAGATTTGTATTATCTTTTAATTCTATTTTTTCACAAACTTTTTGAAGTACCCTCATATGTTTGCACTTTTATGCAAGCCTAGAAAAAGCAAACTAATATGTGTTGTCAGAAAGCAAATCAGTTTGCCTGGGGCTATGGTGAAGGAGGTGAAATTAACTGAAAGCTGGTACAAGGGAATCTCTAGAGGTGATAAAAATATTCTGTATCTTGATGGTAGCATGTTACACAGGTGTACACACTTACCAAAACTATTGAACTGTACATTTCAAACAGGTACCTTTCACTGTCTGTAAATTAAACTTCCATAAAGTGGATTTTTTAAAAATTAACTCAGCCAGGGCCGGCCTGTGGCTCACTCAGGAGAGTGCGGTGCTGATAACACCAAGGCCATGGGTTCGTATCCCATATAGGGATGGCCGGTTTGCTCACTGGCTGAGCGTGGTACTGACAACACCATGTCAAGGTTAAGATCCCCTTACCGGTCATCTTTTTTTAAAAAAAAAAAAAAAAATTAACTCAGCCAAACACTTGCTTATAAGCAACATGCCTTGCTTATAAAAAAAATAAGGTTAAAATTACCTAAAAGAAGGAAAAAGAAAGACCTGGCAAGTATTAATAGCCAAAAGAAACCTAGTGTAGCTATATTAATGAGACACATAGACTTTAAGCCAAAAGGCATTATTACGGGTAAAGTAGACAACTAAATAACAATTAAAAAACAAGTAATTACTAACAGAATAGATTTTGCTGCTGTTTTATTGCCCAACAATTAAATACACATTCTTTCCATGTGCATATGATAGATTTTTTTAAACTGACCATATACTAGGCATACAGCACTTCCCAATAAATTACAAATAATCTGTATTACAAAGACCATGTTCTTAATAATAACATAATTTGATTGAAAATGAATAACAAAAATCCCCAAAAATCTAAATTATGTGTTAACATTTAAATTAAGTACTTCTCTGAAACATGAGCTACACAGAGGAAACACGGAAATTATAAAATATTTATAATTGAATAATAATTAATATACTACTAATCAAAATCTATAGGATGTAGCTGAAGAAGTACTTAGAGGGAAATTATAATTAAAGACTTATAAAAGACTGAATTTAATGACCCAACAGTCCAACTTAAATTAGAAAAAGAATAGAAAAAAATATAGTAATAGCTTAGTATTAGATTAAAAGATATTATGGAGAGGATCCACAAACTGAAATCTAGTTCAAAAAGACTAAAAAAATTGACAATCTCTTAACAAAACTGGTCAAAAAAAACCCAACCAAATGCATAAATATACATAATAAGAATGAAAAAGGAGATTAATTACAGAAACAGCAGAGCTTTTAGTAAGTTTGAGTGCACGCTGGGCAGAGATTGATTATTACAGATGATTATACATTTGGTTACCAAGCTATTCATTTTAACTTACCGCCAACAGAAGACACATTTATTTGCACATGCCAAGCTTGGGGTGGTTTCCATGCAGCGATGGCTTTCAATGCCATAGAATGTATGTTTATAACAACCTCCTCTTCCTCGGAGCATTGACTATAACAAATAAAAAACAAAGCATAATTTGAATAAAATCATCAAATCAACAAAATACCAAGACATCATTTTTAAGAAAAAACTATGTGTTTTATAACCATAAATATCCCTACTGGTATCTGCATGATGCAGAAAATTAACATTATAGCATTATAGTGTTTTGACAGTGCTTTGGGTTTTCTAAAACCCAATGAAATATACTTACTGTTCATTAACTCTGAAAGCTCTATAGGAAGGACCACTGACGCTTTCGTTTTCAAATCCATCCAACTGCCTCAAATAATATTAGTACAATAATATATAATCCAGAAGACAGACAAGGCAGGCTCTAAAAAAATGGGAGCAGTGTTCATATGCAAATATCCATGCTTTGAGTAAGGGAGCGTGGGTAACAGAACGTATCCTGGAGTGTATCTACGTCAACTGAAGGGGTAGAATTTGAACACATTTGAGACAGTTGAGGGGACAGGTAAGCATGTATATAAGAAACAAATTATACCCAAAAAGAACATTATTTAATGTGGGGGATATAACTACTTTACTTTATCACGTAAGTGATAAAACCACGTAAATCGATAAGTATGGTAAGAAGGTAATTTGAAAAATTATCTCAGATTGACTTAGAGTTGGAATCAAGATAATATCAAGCTTTTTAAGGTATCATCAGAAAGATACACTCAGAAGCTCTGTGTAAGACGGGCTTGATTTCAGTAAAAGTAAAAGCAGTGAAGCCTATGAGGAAGATAAGTAAGAGAGGCTGGCTTGTAAGGTTAATGGAGGAAAGGGGCAAGCTATTAAAGGGGTACCATCCATGCCATTCCCCATCAAAGGGGCAAAACAGAGGCAGTCATCCAAGATAACTGAGATTTTGAGGCCAAGTGACTAAAATAATATGGAATCAACAAAAGCAACAAATAAGGAGAATGAAAACATACACACACACATCAGTGTACAATATACATCAGTACTAATATAATGTTCACAGTGAAAAAAAAGTACATAAAATCCTACCAGCTCAATTATTATGTCAGTTGATCATGAAGTCTCTTAATTATTTTTTTTGTTATTATAAAAGTTCTCCTGTACACCTCACTTAGTACTTGCATTTTTAAAAAGTGAAGGAAAAAAAGATAAAAAATAAAAAAAAAAAAGGAAAAATATTGATCAGGATAGCTATGCCTACAAACTCTCTTCCAAATTCCTAACAAAATATGTAAGATGGCAAACAAAACATTCAAATCTTTTTTTTTAATTGAAACACAGTTGATTGCACATATCTGTGGGACACAGTGTTGAATATTAATACCTGTGTGCAATATGTGAGGCTCAAATCAGGATAATTAGTATATTCAACATTACACAATGTAATAATATCTTGTGGCCCTTTACCAATTCAAATCTTGCAAACAAGATGAAAAACTAAAAATAAAAATCCACCAAATGGATTTTTGCGTGATTTTTGTGTGATTTTTCTTTGCCATTTCCTTAAGATTTTCTACAGACAATCATGTCACCTGCAAAATGGAACAGTTTTAATTCTGCCTTTCCATTTGTGTGCATCTCATTTCTTTTCTTACCTATTAACGTGGCTAGAGCTTACAGTGCTGTGTTGAATGGGAGTGGTGAGAGCAGACATGCTTGCCTTGTCCCAGTCTGTCACCTCTCCCAGGGTAACGGAGATGCAAAGGATTACTTGAAGCCCATTTATCCAGAGTAGTGAGAGGCCCAGAAGGGCTTAATCCCAGGAACAATTCCTCCAAGAGATCAGGATTCCTAGGAATAACCCCGAATGAGGTTTTCCCTCAGTTTTTATTGTCCAGGCAAGCAAGTTACAGAAAAGGAACACAGGTGGTTACAAAAAGAACAATGAAATAATCATCAAGGCAACACTCAGTTCCCTAAGAAATTCAAAGAAACAGCCAGAGGCAAGATGTGGAACATCCCCCAACCTTGAAGCCTTTAGCTCACATACTTTCCCATAATTAAATTTAGCTGCACTAACGATGACTGCCCTTAGAGCAAGCATTTTTGCTGTGTTACAATTTTTATCTACAACAGAGACTTTAGTCCTGGGAGAGTTTTCTGTTTTTCCCAAGCTTAGCATTTCTATGGGCAATTCTAAAAAGTTAGGCTATACCTTAAATTAAGGGGCTTTGGCCTTGCTAAAACTACAGAGCTGTGGCTCCACTAATCTAAAAGTTAGGCCCTGTGAAATACATTTGCTTTATTAATGTTGGTATCCTCCACACCAGTCCTATAGGAAAAGCACTCAATCTTTCAAATTAAGTATCATGTTAACTGTAGGAATTTTGTAGATACTCATTACCAAATTGAGGTAATATTCCTGAGAGTTTTTTTGCTGAGAGTTTTGAATGATGAGGTGTAAGACTGTCAAATGCTTTTTTCAGCATCAATTGCTATGATCATATGACTGTTCTTCTTTAGCTCGTTGAGATGGTGGATTACTTTGATCTTTAAATGCTGAATCTGTCTCGCATACCTGAAATAACTTCCTTTTGGTTATGGTATATAATTCCATTTATACCTGGTTGAATTCTATTTGCTAATATTTTATTGAAGATTTCTGCATCTAACTTAATTAAAGACATCGTTCTACAGTTCTCACTGCATTGTCTTTCAGGTTTGGTATCACGTTTCAGCCTTATAAAATGAGTTGGGAAGGTTTCCCCCTCCTGTATTTTTGGAATGATGTTAGGTAAAATTTGTTTTAATTCTTCACTAACTGTTTGATAGTGAAACCATTTAAGTGTATAGATTTCACTCTAGGGGGCATTTTAATTACAAAATCACTTTCTTCAATGATTACATTATTATTCAGATTATTTATTTCATTTTGGCTGAGTTTTGATAATTTGTGGTTTTCAAGGAAAGGATCTATTTCATCTAAGTGCCAAATTTATCAACATAAAATTATCCATCCAACAGCTGTAGGACCTGTACTAATACCCTGTTTCATTCCTGAGACTGGTGACTTATGTCTTCTTTTCATTTTGCCAGTTTTACTAGACATTTATCAATTTTACTGATATTTTCAAATAACCACCAGCTTTTTGTCTTATAATATTCTTATTATTTTCCTATTTTCAATTCCTCTGCTTCCTTTGTGTTTACTTTGCTCTTTTTCCTAGTTTCCTGAGGTAGGAACTTAGATTGCTAATTTGAGACCTTTCTTCATTTCTAATATAAAAATTTAGTGCTGTAAATTATTTCTGTTATTGATTTCTAGCTTGATTCCATTATGATCACAGATACACTTTATGACTTCAATTCTTTTTAAATTTTTGAGATTTGTTCTATGGCCTAAAACGCAGTCTATCTTGGTGAATGTTCCATAAGCACTTGAAAAAAAACATGTTATCTGTTGCTGTTGGGTGGTATGTTCTACATATGTCAATTTGTTGATTAACTGTCTTGTTCAGATTTCTTTATCTTTGCTAATTTTCAGTCTAGTACTTCTAGCATTTGCTCAGAGAGGATTTCAGAGTCCCTACCTACATCTGTACAATTTTAAAATTTTTTTCTATCCAATCAGTTTTTGCTTGATGGATCTTGAAGCTCTAATATCTGGTGTGTATTCATTTAGTCTGGATAGATCCTTTTATAATTATGAAATGTCCCTCTGTTTCCAGTAGTTTTCTTTACTTGAAAGTCTGCTTGGGCTGGCCCGGTGGCGCACTGCTACAGTGGGCCGCTTGAGAGCGCGGTGGCGCTCCCGCCGAGGGTTCGGATCCCACATACAGACCGGCTGCTCACTGGCTGAGCGAGGTGCGGGTACAACACCGAGGGTTGCGATCCCGTTGCCGGTCCCGGTCCGGTACGGGCGCAACACTGAGGGTTGCAATCCGTTGCCGGTCACAAAAAGAGACAAAAAAAGGAAAAAAAAAAATAAAAAGTCTGCTTAATCTGACATTAATATAGGCACTCCTGCTTTTTGGACTGTTCGCATGGTATATATTTTTTTCCATCATTTTACTCAACCTACCTATGGCACTGAATTTTAAGTGAGTGTTCTTGTAAACATCATATATTTGGGTCGTGCTTTTTCATACACTCTGCTAATCTCTAACACTTGGTTGGAATATTTACATTTGCAGTAATTTCCAATACTTTAGCTCTTAAGTCTACTATTTTATTACTTGTTTTCTGTTCCTTTCCTCTGGTTCTCATTCCTTTTTTACTCAACTTTTTGCAAGCTATTTAAACATTTTTTTTTAGGGATTCCTTCTTACGTTATATTGTGTTTTTGAGTTTATCCCTTTGTATAAGTTTTGTACTGTTCTTCTGGTATTACGACACACATACATAATGACACGATCACTGTCTACTACTACTACTATCCACATTTTACCACCTCAAATCAAAAGTGGAAACATCACATCCATTTAGGTTCTTTTAACTTTCCCCCTTTAAATATCATTGCCTTGAGTATCACATTGTGTTATAATTTGTTTTTGATCATCAAAACTCCTGAAGAAAATGATCACCTATTGTATGTACCCATATTCCTGATCTTTCCATTTTTCTTTCTTTCTTCCAATGTACAAGTATCTTTCTTTTATTGTTTAATTTGTTTTGAAGAACTTTCATAAGGCAATCTTTAAAAGCAGGTCTGTTAGAGCTGTTGAACGCTGATGGGATGGGAATTTCGCCCAGGCCATCCTGTCTCCATGAGTGACCTGAGAGGCCCCAGGTTCCCAAGCCCCGAGCCAGACAAGCTGGTGAACGCAGGCGGGGCGGGACTTCTGGCACAGGCCATACATCTCCCTGAGCGAGCTGAGAGGCACGGGCTCACAAGCCCGGAGCCTGACAAGCTAGTGAAGGCAGGTGCGGCAGAACACCAAGGCCATGCCGTCTGTCTCCATGAGTGACTTGAGAGGTTCTGGATTCCCATGCCACCCAACCAGCTGCTGAAGGCAGATGGGGTGGGACTTCCGGTCCAGCCTAGTTTCTGCTGTTCAGAAGCAGCAGACCCTTCAGGA